TAATTCTTAATTCTTGTGTTGGATAATATTATAATGTTTATAATATAATAATAATGGTTAACAGTACTGGCTACCAGGATTTCCTTACATTTCTTCGACTCATTTGCGTTTCCAGCTTTCACCTGTGTTCTCTTCTCCTACTTTCTCTCAATATAAAGAGGCTGTCCTTGTCCACCTTGTCTATTCCAGTCTGTATTTTGCATGTTGTGATCATATCCTCTATGTTTCTTGTATCCTCTAGGGTTATCTTCTTCAGATGATTTCGGGGCTTAGCGTCCCCGCGGCCCGGTCCTCGACAAGGCCTCCTTTTTGTTACACACCCCCAAGAAAAGAAGCAGCTGTCTAACTCCCAGGTACCTATTTACTGCTAGGTAACAGGGGCATCAGGGTGAAAGAAACATTTTGCCCATTTGTCTCCGCCTCCACCGGGGATCGAACCCGGAACCTCAGGACTACGAATCCTAAGCGCTGTCCACCCAGCTGTCAGGCGCCCGACGGGTTGCGAGATATATGTTCCTTGCAAACCTTTGTATTTTTTATCAATTTTGGTTTTGTGGTAGACAAGGAGTAGAGTCCAAGCTGGTAATACACATTCCAGCACTGTCTAACTAATGTTGTGTAGGTAGCCTTGAAGGAGTCTTTCTTAACGATGTTCTTATGTTTCCCAGCGTCTCACATGCTGGTGATGTTATCCTTCCTGTTCATGTGTTCCACCAGGGTTTGTCTTGGATATATCCACTCACAAATATTTCTCATTTTCTGATGAAAATGGTTATGGTGATATATTGCTTGGATATATCCACTCCCAAATCTTTCTCATTTTCTGATGAAAATGGTTATGGTGTATATGCCTTCTGGTCTCTTGTCTCCCGTTCCTGTCTTCATTACTATAGCCTTAATGGGATTGAATTCCAGCAACCTTTTGTTTCCCACTTGTGGAGTTTGTCAATGATATCCTGAAACTTCCAGCTGTCCTCTATTTTTACACTCCTCGTCATCTTTGAGTCATCTACAAACATTAATAAGTCTGAGCTCACTCCCTCGGGCAGGTCGACCACATAAGTTAGAGACAGCAGCGGTCCCAGGACAGAGCCTGGTGGGACCCACTTGTTACTCTCCTCCAGCTTGAGACCTTCCCTAGAGACCTCACACTTGACACTAGAGACCAGCTCCTCGCTGCCTGTGACTCCTTGTCCTTCATATACTTCCTTACCTAGTTTAGTGTTGTACCTGTTATCCTAGTCTACCTCTCTATGTACACCAGTCTTTAATGAATGTTTTTTGACGCTGAAAAATACTCTACCAAGTCTTCCTTTTCCTGGGAAGCGTGGGGTGGGGGGGGGGGCTGGCTTGTGTTTACCTATCAGCGTCTGCAGGAAGTGAGGTGTTAGCTCTTCGTGCCCGCCTCCTAGCTTGTAATTGTCGTGGTTGTAAATATTGCGACGTTAGTTGTGCGTTGTGGCTCTTGTTACTGCGTGGGTGGAGGCGGCTCCCCCCCCCACCCCACCCCACATGCTCCCCCCACTCTCTATACACCACTAGTATTTCTTACATTTCTTCCACCTTTGTATTTCTCACTTCCACCTATATCATCTTGTTTTGTTTTGATTCAATGTAAAGAAGCTGATATCTATTTACCCCTCAGTGTTTTTACATGATTGTATTGCTTCTAAACCGATTAGGCTGTTTCCTTAATTTTTCCTTATCTTAGGCTTCTTCAGGCACTTGACCTGTTGCAAACTTGTATACTTTTACAACTTTCTTTTTTTTATTCTTTACGAGGAGTGGACTCCATGCCAGTGCCACACACTCTGGCACCAGTCTAACACAAGCTACGTAAATGGTTTCGAAAAAATTCTTTGTTTTATATAATTATCCCAGTTATTTTAGCCCCCGTACACACACTAGCCTCACCCCCGTACACACACTAGCCTCACCCCCGTACACACACTAGCCTCACCCCCGTACACACACACTAGCCCCACCCCCGTACACACACACACTAGCCCCACCCCCGTACACACACACACTAGCCCCACCCCCGTACATACACTAGCCTCACCCCCGTACACACACTAGCCCCACCCCCGTACACACACACATTAGCCCCACCCCCGTACACACACACTAGCCCCACCCCCGTACACACACACTAGCCCCACCCCCCGTGCATACACACTAGCCCCACCCCCGTACACACACACTAGCCCCACCCCCCGTACATACACACTAGCCCCACCCCCGTACACACACTAGCCCCACCCCCGTACACACACTAGCCCCACCCCCGTACACACACACTAGCCCCACCCCCGTACACACACACTAGCCCCACCCCCGTACACACACACTAGCCCCACCCCCGTATACACACTAGCCCCACCCCCGTATACACACTAGCCCCACCCCCGTACACACACACTAGCCCCACCTCCCGTACACACACTAGCCCCACCCCCGTACACACACTAGCCCCACCCTCGTACACACACTAGCCCCACCCCCGTACACACACTAGCCCCACCCCCGTACACACACACTAGCCCCACCCCCACTCACACACTAGCCCCACCCCCGTACACACACTAGCCCCACCCCCGTACACACACTAGCCCCACCCCCGTACACACACACTAGTCCCACCCCCGTACACACACACTAGCCCCACCCCCGTACACACACTAGCCTCACCCCCGTACACACCCTAGCCCCACCCCCGTACACACACTAGCCCCACCCCCGTACACACACTAGCCCCACTGGTATCTGGGGACCGTGGTGTGATAACTAGGTGTTGTAGTGCTGTGGTTGGTGGGAGGAGCGAGGCTGTGTACCTCGCTCAGATACCATTGTCAGGACGCAGGCTTCCGCCCAGTGTTCCAGTACCACACGCTGGCTACCAGTGCTTCCCTCGGGATACCAGTACCTCCTTCAGGGTACCAGTACCTCACCCAAGCTACCAGTACCTCACCCAGGCCACCAGTACCACAGGCTCGCTACCAGTGCTTCCCTCGGGCTACCAGTACCTCCTTCAGGGTACCAGTGCTTCCCTCGGACTACCAGTACCTCCTTCAGGGTACCAGTGCTTCCCTCGGGCTACCAGTACCTCTTTCAGGGTACCAGTGCTTCCCTCGGGCTACCAGTACCTCCTTCAGGGTACCAGTGCTTCCCTCGGGCTACCAGTACCTCTTTCAGGGTACCAGTGCTTCCCTCGGGCTACCAGTACCTCCTTCAGGGTACCAGTACCTCACCTAGGCTACCAATACCTCATCCAGGCTACCAGTACCTCACCCAGGCTACCAGTACCTCACCCAGGCTACCAGTACCTCACCCAGGCTACCAGTACCTCACCCAGGCTACCAGTACCTCACCTAGGCTACCAGTACCTCACCCAGGCTACCAGTACCTCACCCAGGCTACCAGTACCTCACCTAGGCTACCAGTACCCCACCCAGGCTACCAGTACTACCAGTACCTCACCCAGGCTACCAGTACTACCAGTACCTCACCCAGGCTACCAGTCCCTCACCCAGGCTACCAGTACCTCACCCGGGCTACCAGTACCTCATCCAGGCTACCAGTACCTCACCCGGGCTACCAGTACCTCATCCAGGCTACCAGTACCTCACCCGGGCTACCAGTACCTCACCCAGGCTACCAGTCCCTCACCCAGGCTACCAGTACCTCACCCGGGCTACCAGTACCTCATCCAGGCTACCAGTACCTCACCCAGGCTACCAGTCCCTCACCCAGGCTACCAGTACCTCACCTGGGCTACCAGTACCTCATCCAGGCTACCAGTACTACCAGTACCTCACCCAGGCTACCAGTACCTCACCCAGGCTACCAGTACCTCACCCAGGCTACCAGTACCTCACCCAGGCTACCAGTACCTCACCCAGGCTACCAGTACCTCACCCAGGCTACCAGTACCTCATCCGGGCTACCAGTACCTCACCCAGGCTACCAGTACCTCACCCAGGCTACCAGTACCTCACCTAGGCTACCAGTACCTCACCCAGGCTACCAGTACCTCATCCAGGCTACCAGTACCCCACCCAGGCTACCAGTACCTCACCCAGGCTACCAGTACCTCACCTAGGCTACCAGTACCTCACCCAGGCTACCAGTACCTCACCCAGGCTACCAGTACCTCACCCAGGCTACCAGTACCTCACCCAGGCTACCAGTACCTCATCCAGGCTACCAGTACTACCAGTACCTCACCCAGGCTACCAGTACCTCACCCAGGCTACCAGTACCTCATCCAGGCTACCAGTACTACCAGTACCTCACCCAGGCTACCAGTACCTCACCCAGGCTACCAGTACCTCACCCAGGCTACCAGTACCTCACCCAGGCTACCAGTACCTCACCCAGGCTACCAGTACCTCACCCAGGCTACCAGTACCTCACCCAGGCTACCAGTACCTCACCCAGGCTACCAGTACCTCACCCAGGCTACCAGTACCTCACCCAGGCTACCAGTACCACACCCAGGCTACCAGTACCTCACCCAGGCTACCAGTACCTCACCCAGGCTACCAGTACCACACCCAGGCTACCAGTACCTCACCCAGACTACCAGTACCTCACCCAGGCTACCAGTATCTCACCCAGGCTACCAATACCACATTGATGGTACCAGTACCTCGCTGAAGGTACCAGTACCACCCGGACAAGGCTACCAATACCAAGCTGAAGGTACGGGGATGAACCGCTCAATAAAAGGTGAGTGAACACTGGAAATTTATGAACACTGGACATGAGTGAAAACTGAACACGGTCCACACCTACCAGGACGGCCCATACCTGCAGGAACGGCCCACAGGACGACCCACACCTGCTGGGGGCCCACAGGACGGCCTACACCTGTCGGAGCGGCCCACAGGACGGCCCACACCTTCCGGAGGGCCCCACAGGACGGCCCACATCTCCCGGGAGCCCATAGGACGGCCCATACCTGCCAGGGGGCCCACAGGACGGCCCATACCTGCCAGGGGGCCCACAGGACGGCCCACACCTGTCGGAGCGGCCGACAGGACGCCTCCACACCTGGGAGTTAACCCTTGGTCATGGGAAACATAACAGCAGAACCTATTCTCTTCACTTTTACCCTCGCCTTCGTCAGCCTGGTAATCTAGCTGTTGTCTGTGTGTGTGTTTGTCTCCCTGCAGGTGTTCACTTAGTTGTGTTCACCTAGTTGTGTTTGCGGAGGCTGAGTAAGGGGAGACATGATAATCACCTACAAAATTCTCAGGGATATTGACAGGGTGGACAAAGACAAATTCTTCAGCACGGATGGGACACGAACAAGGGGACACAGGTGGAAGCTGAGTACCCACATGAGCCACAGAGACGTTAGAAAATTTTTTTTCAGTGTCAGAGTAGTTAACGGATGGAATGCATTAGGCAGTGATGTGGTGGAGGCTGACTCCATACACAGTTTCAAATGTTGATATGATAGAGCCCAGTAGACTCAGGAACCTGTACACCAGTTGATTAGCAGTTGAGAGGCGGGACCAAAGAGCCAAAGCTCAACCCCCGCAAACACAATTAGGTGAGTACAATTAGGTGAGTACACACACACACACACACGCGCGGACGTAAGAAAGAATTTTTTCAGTGTCAGAGTAGTTAACAGAATGCATTAGGCAGTGATGCATAACAGTGAATGCATTAGACAGTTTGTACGTGTGTATATGTGTGTGTGTGTGTGTGTGTGTGTGTGTGTGTGTGTGTGTGTGTGTGTGTGTGTGTGTGTGTGTGTGTGTGTACGTGTAGTGACCTCAATGTAGCTAGTTTGTGAGACAGTGTTGCAAGCACTGAAGAGAGCGCACCCATGACACATCCACCAGTGTTGCAAGCACTTCCCCCTGCCCACCTGTCCCCCCCCCATCCTGCCAAGACCCTGGTGTAGAGTATATGTATATCTATACATATGACTTCTGACATATTTCTCGTCCTGTCAATCTTAAGAAAAAGGGTCAGAGGACATAGGAGTCTCACGGGCTATTCATGCCCGTGCCACCTCTTGGGTGGCTTAATCTTCATCGATCAATCAGAGATATGATCACGACATACTGCTGTATCACAGGTGGTGTACAGAGATAGTATTATCACGATGGGGGGGGGTAAAAAGATAGAGCAAGCACGTGTGAATGTTGGAGTGCAGACGAGTGAGCGATGCACGATAATACTGGGTTTTAGTACGGTACACAAAATAAGTCACAATAACGGGGCTGAAAACAAATGACCCAATACCCATATGAGGACGGACCGAAACGTTGGCACTTTCATGTCACCTGTGTGTTGTGTGCAACAGTGGTGAGGAGTGGCGGTAATGTGCCTCTGGGGCACTACCTTGCCATGTTTTCGGGGTTCAACGTCCCCGCGGCCCGGTCCTCAACCCAGGAAGTCGAAGAGGCTGGTATGAGTAGAAGACTCTATAGAGCCAGCAGCACCCAACAAAGTGGTGTTCAAGAAACACAGAGGGTGTGCAACACCAGTCATATGTGTTGTATTGCCCTGTACTTTCTCTTGTGGAATCTCTAACTTGCGTTATCTCAACAGGTGTTGCTGGGTCAAGACTTCATCTTGCGGCGCAAGTGTTGGGAGCGACTAGCGGACTCCGCCTGCAGTGCCCTGAACGCCTCCCACCGCCCCACACCCCTCAGGCAGGAAGCCTCGCTGCTCGCTGAGATCACGCCCAACACCCAGGAGGAAAAGGATGTCTACTCAGAGGCAGTCAAGCTCTACGCGGCCGTCTTTGTCACCTTCTGCGTCACCTCCGTCGCCTCCTCCCAGCTCTTCGGCTCCTGGATAGACAGGTCTTCGTGTCTCAACTTCACATTTGTCTGCCATATGAGCTTACAGGACTAGTTCCCTCCTGTGTATAATACTCCACACATTCTCTCACAGGACTAGTTCCCTCCTGTGTTATCCTTCCAGTGATGCCCAACCACACACGGCACCTTTGCAATGGTGCCGTGTGTGGACCCCCTTACAATGTTATGGCAGGATCCCACAGTGTGGGGGGGGGGGGGGTCACCAGCATGACCCCCACAGTCTTATGGCAGAGCCGCACAGTGTGTGTTACCAGCGCTGGCCCTCCAGTCTAAATACCATCACCTGTTCCAACAGGTGTTCGAGGAAGGCGATAATGGTGGCTCCGTCGGTGGGGCTGGTGCTGTGGGCGCTGACGTACCTAGTGCTGGCCGCCCTGCCCTCCCTCCCACTACAATGGGTCTTCCTTGGCAGCTGCCTGGGAGGCCTATCTGGCGGCTTCCCCACTCTCAAGGTAGCCTCCTCCTCCCTATTATTTAAACCCTCTCCAATATTAAGAATTTTAAAAGGCGTGTCAGAGACTTTGTGAGAATGTTCCATTTGCCCACAAAAGTATTTCAAAATATAGCCCGTTGTACCTTCCTGTAAATATTTAAATAAATAAATATAAAAATAATTAAACATAGTCTACTTAATATATTTGTTAAATAGTCAGGCATAAAATGACATTTGTTTTCTTTAAATTTCATCGTTTTCCTTAATGCTATACATATATATTGAGTACAAAATTAAACATAGTATACTATTCATTTACTAGTCGGTAAGGATATCAGTATAGTTTGTCTAAAGGAATTAATCACAAAATCAGCCCTAAAATAGTGCGTAAAAAATTATGCCATTCTACATGCATATGCTATCCTAGCCTAACCAACAAAAATAATATATAATTTATGTTATGGGTGTAAATCACAAAGAAATTAACACGTAATGAACAATTTGACAACGTCAGACCACGAAAGAAGGCTTAAGACAGGAATTTCCTTAAGTACTTTCGTATTTAATAATGCATCTTCAGAAGGATGTTTATATATAATGTATGCGCTGTGTAGGACGCCAGAGTTTGAATTCGTGTAAGTATAAGGTGGAGAAAGCAGCCGCCAGGGGGAATACCCAGCTATAGTCAGGAAGCCATTAACGTTACAGAGGTAACGTTAATATATTTACATGAATATATAGCCATGTATATATATACTTACCGAGATAGACATATAAAAGCCTAATTGCAGTGTGATGGGCGGTACACCAAATGGCTTCTCGTTTTATTTTCCATTGTGATAAGGCACCAGGCCAATATAACACTATATATAGGATTTATATCGTGCAGTTATCGCGAGGAGAAAACCTTCGCGTAAATTTCACTCGTAAAGAATATAAATAAGGTTTGGCTAGTCGTACAGACCGGTTTGTTGACTGTTCAGGTTGTTAGACCCCGCTGTTAGACACCGTTAAGAGTTCGGCTATTTATGACCCTTATATATATTTAGAGGGAAGGTGTTGAAAAGTTTTGGGCCCTGAATGTTATATAATTGTTTCCGAGAAATTATAATTTGGTGCGTAGAGTTGGAACGAGTCCCTCGTATATCTTCCATATGTAAATGATTATTTATCTCTTTTTTTCTGCACTACAAAAACGTCTCCAACTTTGAATGGGGCTGTTAGTGTGCAACAAAAATGGCAGCTGTCTTGGCAGAAAGTCAATAGGTTTGGAGCAAGTTAAAATTGAACCCTAATTCTTGAACAATTCTCTCAAGACCTTTATATGTACACGATGTTAAGGAAGTATATATTTAGGTGGGTTTGTTTTAACAATAGGTAGCCTATTATAAGAGTTTTGCAGAATTTGTTTGAGTAATTCTTGTAAAAGATTCAAGAGCCATTATAATTTTTATATAAATAAAAACTGTAAAGATATTTTTTATTTATTTATGTTAACAAATTATATGTAGTGCTGTAACTTGCTTTGCTAAACGAATTTGAAGGTTCAGTTCATGAACCCATTACATATGTGCCTCTGTAACCTTCCCCATGGTGTGCATAATATATGACCTATACTCACAGTGTTGTACATTGTGTGGTAAGTTAATTTTATACTACTGTTTACATACAGTTTAAGCACTTGCTGGTACTGTTTAGAGAGAGATCAGTGGAAGCTTGAACGTTGATGAATATCAACATCAATATTAACGTTGTGTTGTACAGACAGCAGTGATGACTTACGTGTTGCTGGAGACGCCCCCTGAACAAAGGACAGTGCGTGTGAGCATCCTAGAAGGATGTACCTACTTGGGCAGCCTCACCGCTACCCTTGCTGTCTATATCCTCACTAGGCTTGACAACACCAACCACGCCCTGCTCTTTCTTGGTAAACACCACATCACTCCAGTCCTCTTCATACTACTTTTCTCCTATGTTGGGTTGCAGGCCTGGAGTCTGGTACTGGAACCAGTTGGGTTATTTAATGCTATGTGGATTTGTATTATGTGTGTGTGTGTGTGTTGCTCCATTTTATATTTTGAAGTAAAAATCATCGAATATGGTAATATATTGACGTTTTTCCTTGGTTTGTGATTTCAAGTAAAGATAATCGAATTGACTAATGTATTGATAATATTTCATGCTTTCTCACGATGTGATTTGACCTACAAATCTCAGAATTTTGCAATATATTGTGTTTTTTAGTTATCATTATACCTGCTATACAAATCTCATGTAGCCTATATCAGTATATTTGCATTGCATGATGTGAAATACAGTACATGTGTTTAATTGCACTGGAATTGTACGAGTTAGTTACTCCCAAGCATCAGGCACCTTCTGTATGAAGACTCAGAACACTAATTTACATTTCCAAGAAAGGCGTAAAATAAGATGGAGCCTGATTGTTTGAGATGTACGAGTGGTTCAGAGGGTTTAACACGGGATATAAAAAAAAGTTGTCTAAAAAGTTGATGTTAGAACACGAAACTGAAATTTGAGAAATTAATAGATAAAACTGTTCAAAATTATGGTTGAACATATTTGCGGAACAAGTTATGAATACCATTATTATTTTTTTAATTACTGTTTTCCTTTGGGCAGTTAACGAGGTGGTTTGTGTTGTGAACTTGGTGTACATCCTCATCATCCTTCCGGACGACTCTGAGCCACGAACCGCAGCTATCAGCAAGTCTATACCAGACATTCTGACATCCCTTGAGGAACAGGACACCCTCTCCGTCATGCCTGATGCTTCCAGCAGTGACGCCGAGGACCTCGAAGGCCCTCCTTCTTCACCTAGCGGCAACCCAATCCTCACAAATGACAACGACAATGACATAACCTTGCTGTGCCCGGTTATCGCCATTCCTGGCGATGACTGGAGCAACTATGGCACTCCTCCGGAATACCCTGACGACTGCAGCGCCTACGGCACCCCTCTGCAGAGGACCCAGTCGTCACTGGCACTCAGACCAGACACTGTTGTCGAGGGCGTTAGCACCACCTCTAGTGTGTATGGCACCCCCGTTGCCACTACATACCTTGGTGACCAGCCCTTGTCTGACAAACATATAGGTGTCATGAACATAGATGTCGTGTCTCCAGGTGACACAAATGACAGTGAAACATCTCTTAAACCAGCATCACTATGTGAAAAGAATGTTGGTACCATGCCTTCAAGTAAGATGTATGTTGGTGACACAAAACCAAACAACACGCATACAGGTGACACGTTACCAAGTGTCACGCATACAGGTGACACGTTACCAAGTGACACGCATACAAGTGACACGCCACTAAGTGTCACGCACGCAAGGAACAGTTATGAAGGTGTCACCGTCAATGGTATTATCAATCATGGTTATGACACATTTGATTCACCCTTGGATACAAATACCAGTGTGTTACGGGAAGAGGGCGACCACCAACACTCACTCCAACACCAACACACTTCCCCACACCATCAACACACACTCCTCAACCACCAACACATTTCCACGAACCACCAACACTCATTGCACTCACCCCAACACCACCAACACCCACTCCAATACCAACATTCACCCCAACACCATCAACACCCACTCCAACACCATCAACACTCACCCCAAACCCACCAACACCACCAACACCCACTCCAACACCATCAACACCCAACCCAACACCACCAACACACACCCCAACACCATCAACATCCACTCCAACACCATCAACACTCACCCCAACACCCATTCCAACACCACCAACACTTACTCCAACACTCACTCCAACACCACCATCAAACCCTCCCACACCACAAACACACTCTTCCAAAAAACCAGCAGACTTTTCAATACCACCAACACCAAAATACTTTATCTGATCACCAACATACACATACACACTCAGACCATCAACACACTTTGCCAGACCACCAACATACTTTACTAGACCAACAACATACTTCACCAGACCCCCAACATACACTACCAGACCACCAACATACTTCACCAGACCAACAACATACTTCACCAGACCACCAACATACTTCACCAGACCACCAACATACTTCACCAGACCACCAACATACTTCACCAGACCAACAACATACTTCACCAGACCAACAACATACTTCACCAGACCAACAACATACACTAACAGACCAACAACATACTTCACCAGACCAACAACATACACTATCAGACCACCAACATACTTCACCAGACCACCAACATACTTCACCAGACCAACACACCCAGGCAGATCAAAAGAACTGTCTCTCTGAAGATGAAGTTGACAACTTTCGTCCTATTCGTCCTCTACGAGTTAACACCAGCAGCCCTGACGACCCACAGCTGATGCCGCCTCTCCTGATGACTCCAACACCTGCTGACAACGTGGGTCACACACCGACCCTCTTGCTGACTCCTCCAACACCTATTGAGAACGTGGGTCACACACCGACCCTCCTGCTGACTCCTCCAACACCTATTGAGAACGTGGGTCACACACCGACCCTCCTGCTGACTCCTGCAACACCTGCTGACAACGTGGGTCACACACCAACCCTCTTGCTGACTCCTGCAACACCTATTGAGAACGTGGGTCACACACCTCCTCTCCTGCAGACTCCTCCAACACCTGCCAACTCAATTAACACTTCCGACTCCAGTTGTGCGAATGTGGACCCTGCTATAAGGGTTGGTGAGCGGTGCGATGGACGCCTTACTGACGGAGATGCAGACAGAGGGCGCCTGGGCGTTCTGGGCCACATTGCTGACCCCTTGTCAGCCACCTTCCGTCGTCGCTCTCTGGGACTAAGAGCCATTGTGGTTGCCGATCTCGTAGCTGCCTTCTTCATTAGTTTTGTTTTCTCAGGTGAGTGCCTGAGCGCGTACCTGCCTGGTAACTTAGGGTACCGGCCTAGTAGCCTACGCTACTAGCCTAGAGTACATAGGCTTCACAACTTCTACGTTTCGTGACATTTTGTTCCTGAATTTACTAAAGCAAAATTTGGGTGTAATACAAACATTTGATATATTTTATTAGCAATAATAGTATTTGCCATTTCATATAACACAAAATTACATCAAAGCTAAATGGCGCAATTTTCACACAATGTTATGTAATATTGTAGCCTATCCTCCTGTTTTGGTAGTACTTGTAGTAACGATGAGGACCATAGTATATATTTCGACGTACAACGCAATTAGAAAGTAGAAATCGGAACTATTGAGTTGGACAAACTGGAAAACTATTTTTTACTTGTGTAAATTAACCTAACCTAACCTTCCTAGGCTTAATTAAGTTTGTTTTTAGCTTCATTTTTTAAAGAAATCCTTACTAGTCAGTATACTACTATCTAAAAGCTAAGTACGTACGAATTCGTGTCTATTGACGACCGTCATAAATAGGTACTATCTAAACAGGAGGATGGGTTATCGGTGCTCCCTGTCCTCACATTTTACACTTCCTGTCATCTACACCTCCACACAATGTGAACTGTCAAAGATACTTGTAGCCTAGACGTACACGAGCTGTCAGTCAGTCAGTCTACTGCTTGTGTTACTTCCTCTATACAAGTGTTATGTTTGCACACTTCATTGATGGACCATTCCTGTTTGCACACTTCTGCGTTCTTCAAATTCATCTACGAGTTCTTGTCTAATGACTCTTTTTTAAGATTATATTTGATAGACCAAGATTACTTTCATCCGTGTCTTTATTTACTGCAAGCTTAGCAAGGAATGGAAGTTTTCTCTTCAACGGTATTATAAATGATGTAAGCAGGTAAAAATTACGACCATGTATGAAACATAAAATTAGTTTCCAGTATTAGAATCTTTACTAAGTAATCTCCAGAGTGCTCTTCACTCTACTTTCCATGAGTTAAGAAATGACTCCAAGGTTAGAAGGGGATCAGATTTAAAGATAAAAATAAAAATGTCTTTAGAGACATTGAACTAATACACGGGAGCCGTGATGATTATAGCAGGGAATAATTATTATTATTACTCCAACTTGGCGTGTCGAGGCAGCTGAGGTAGACACGACGTACCTGTACCTGGAAGCGAAGATGCAGCTGGAGACGGACAGGTACGCCGGTTACTACGTGTTCAAGGGCAGCGTGGAGAGCCTGGCACTGCTGCTGCTGCTGCCACTGTTGAAACGCTTCCCAGGGCTCCATGACGCCTCACTGGGGGTTGTCGGCGGCGTCAGCTGCTGCGCCTTCTTCGTCGTCATGGGCTCTGTCGCCAGTCCCAACTTGCTCTATCTCGGTGGGTGCAGCATTCTACCCCACAGTGTACCACAGTAGCCCGGTCACAGTGTTCAATAGTACCTCACAGTCTACCACTTTACCCCACACTATACCACAGTTTGAAGTTAGCAAACATAAAAACGTCATTTATGAATCTAAACAATGAGGCTTTCAATGAGGCTTTCACACACACATTGCCTATATGAGACTATTATTTGAGTATACAGCACCAGCATGGAACCCACACCGTGTGTAGCATAAACAGAAACTTGAGAAACTTCAGTGGTTAGCAACTAGATTAGTACCAGAACTGAGAAGCCTAAACAATGAGGACAGGTTGAGGGAACAGCTTCACAACCTTAGGAAAGAACAGAGTATTGATGTAAACATACAGATAGCAGTACTGTAAGACCTGCCCTCCCTACCTGTCAGTTCTAAGACCTGCCCTCCCTACCTGTCAGTTCTAAGACCTGCCCTCCCTACCTTGTCAGTTCTAAGACCTGCCCTCCCTACCTGTCAGTTCTAAGACCTGCCCTCCCTACCTGTCTCCACAGTGGTGGTGCTGGGGGGCTTCAGCAAGTACCTGCTGGTGGCTGAGAGAACCATCATATGGGGACTGCTGGAGCCTGGCGAGCAAGGTCAGTGTGTCACCTGTTGTGTGTGCTTGCTAGTTTAAGAGTGTTCTTGCTAGTCTAAATGGGTCTTCGGAGTGTATTTGCACCCGGAGTAAAGAAGTCCATCTGAACCCTGTCACACCTATCCATCTGAAACACCTCTTCCGGCTCTGGAAAGTAACTATCATGTATCTCCTTTACCTTCGGTTACCAAGAGTAGTGAGATAACTTTGTGTTAAACTCTGTATTCACAGTATCTTGTTGTGGAAGGCATTTGGTATGAGCGTGTTCTATATGGTTGTAATTGCAACGGATGAGCCGCGGTTCTTGAGTCCCGCCTCTCGATCCATATTAATATGTTGTGTTGTATAAGTAGAGGTGTATATGGTGTGGCCCGCAGGTCTGGTGGTGACGGTGGTCAACAGTGTGGAGCTGCTGGGAGTGCTGGCGGGCTGCCTGACCTTCCACACTGTCTTCACCCTCTTGATGACCCTCAACATGCCTGGAGTCACCCTCCTACTCGCTGGCCTCATAGTCCTCATACCCACCCTCATATTTGGGTGAGTTCCCCTTATACTCATCGTTATACGGTCCCATCTACATCAATTTTGGTGTTTTAGCTTTATTTGTCCTGATCCAATAAAGAAAATAGTATAAAAAAGTGCTCTACTGAGGCTCCATTACTACATATTGGTACGACCAGAACAAGAAGATAGGCTGCTCAAAACACATAGTAAAAAGTGAATGTTCTGCTTGTAACGTTACAGAAAAAAAGGTTTGCAAGATAGATCCACATATTTCCCGTCCCGTTATATGTAGCGATTCCGGGATTCTATTCTTTTGCTGAATAGTCTAGTGTTATTAACCATTCTTCTGCTTGATTTTACATATGTTGAAGTGACGGTATGTTTTGGTCGCCATCTTGATGCTAAAATGCGTTCCTTAATTTTGGGTGATGAAACCCTTAAAATTGACCTGTTCTTTCTATGGGAACATCTGTTTGATTGTTACGTGTAATTATTATTATTATTATTACTATTATTAATATATTTTTATTGATATTTAGTAGGTATTCATTGTATTATTTCTCGAAATAATCTAAGTTCGTTTTTTTTTAAATCTTTATCATTTAAACTTTATGTTTGAAATATGTGTTGTCAGGCATCCACTGACGCAGGTGTTGGTACCCACAGGTCGCTCTACTTCGCCCTCACCCTTCGTCAGGATCCCTCCAGCCTACTCCCCTCACCTGCCCTCACCACACACTACACTCCTCCCCCACCACCCTGACCCAACCTTCACCGTAACAGAGGTGGTAGTCACCATACCCTACCATGACTACGTTGTCTCTATGGCAGCTCCATTGCACCCCCCCCCCCGCCTCAACACCGGCAATACCCCCTCTGACAACAACAAGACGTATGGCACCGACTACAGTAATATGGCACCTGACATTGGTAATACACCCTTATGAATATCGACTAATTCAACCAAGGGTGAAGTCGACATAAACATCAGTATGGCAACAGCTGGTGAAGACATGGAATACAAATGATGTTTATGGCAACAGCTGATGAAGACATGGAATACAACTGATGTTTATGGCAACATCTGATGAAGACGTGGAATACAATTGATGTTTATGGCAACATCTGGTGAAGACATTAAATACAATTAATGTTTATGGCAACAGCTGATGAAGACGTGAAATACAATTGATGTTTATGGCAACATCTGGTGAAGACATTAAATACAATTAATGTTTATGGCAACAGCTGATGAAGACGTGGAATACAACTGATATTTATAGCAACAGCTCTCACCCTCGCATCACATACATTTTGTAAAACATTAAACTACCAAGTCTAATTATTATTGTCTAAATTATTTATTATTGTTTGAATTATTAAGTGTCTGAATTATTTATATAATTCTTAATGTTGTTTTAATTATATAATTATCATTTCCTATAATAAATCTATTGTTAGTATTATTATAGAGAACATATGGTTTAATTAATATATTTAAGGTTATTAGAATAACACCTTCACATGGTGTCATTAAGACTTGTTGGTGGTACAGTTCATCAATGAACCTGCTGTAATTACTGTAATACATCTACATGATGTAACAATTATAAAATAATCGCGTGTTTTGATCTCTACTTTCTATTCTTTAATAAGTAAACTATCTACATTGTTCAGAATACAGTTTACTGGACTGGAGTATCTTCAACCACTACATAAGAACTACCTATGTATTACCCAAGGTCCGTACCTGTAACTGTAGCAATAAAATAAAGGTGAATGAAAAGCACAACTTACAATGATTCATAATGAAGAATGTGACGTGTAGATTCTGATGATTATTTTATTACATGGTCAAGCACAGGATACCATGCACCGCTGGTACAATGACGTCAATAGTAGAATGTTGTTACTAGTACAATGACGTCACTAATACAATGGTGCCACTAGTAGAATGACGTCACTAGTACAATGGTGTCACTAGTACAATGATGCCACTAGTAGAATGACGTCACTAGTACAGTGACGTCACTAGTACAGTGACGTCACTAGTACAATAACGTCACTAGTAGAAATACGTCACTCGTACAATAATGTCACTAGTCAATAATAGTAGAAGACTAACAGACAGCTGTCTATGGTCACACTAACATCAGAGGGTTGTAAACAAACTAGAGACATAGCTGGGTTAATTGTTGTTGTTGTTTTAGAATTAGCTACTCAGAACGAAATGTCCAGGTAGCATGGGGGCTATAGGGCATGCCTGACTTGAACCATTCAAGTCCTCTCAGATCATAAAGAGATCATGTACGCATGTGTCGCTCCGGCCGTAGCTGAGCCTGCGTGTGGGAACCCCCTCGTCCTCTACACTCCAAACGGATGCGCCTAATCGTCTCATTTCGCTCTGGAGGTCCTTGTCTGAGAAGAAGGAATTGGAGTGTGAGGACAGGGCGAGGAACTTGTGCCCAGCTACTTGGACTAACAAATCATGCAAACTTGTCTGGGTCACCACCTGACCCAGTGATCACAGACCTGATAGAAAACCTTATAACATAAAACCTAATAAATTTTTACATTCTGTGCATTCAAAACGGGAATTTTCTCTCAAGTATAAATTAATATTATAATATGTTAGCATATTGTGCATATATATAGGTATGGGTTAGGTTAGGTGTTTAAGTTCTGTTGGCGATTATTTGTATTTGTAGTACGTGGATGAAGCATTTACAGTGTTGGATCGAACAAAATTCGTCAGTGAAGCACATGGTCCGGAAGTGTTCGAATGAAATCAGTTGTGAGTCGTGTGTAAACCGTTTTTCATTCACAAAAGGGGGTTTGGTTTGGCGGGTGCATGGAATCACTTTTGGGTCTTTGTTTGGAGGACGGGCTGTCCTCACAGCCCATCCTCCTAACAAAGACCCAAAAGTGATTCCACGTTCACGCTAAACCCCTTGTTTATATATAAAAAAATCGTTTACACACGACTCACAACTGAATTCGTTCGAACACTTCTGGAACAAGTGCTTCACTGACGAATTATGTTTGAACCACAATGCTATAAACAGCCGTCCACCAAACAAAGACCCAAAAGTAATTCCATGCACCTGCCAAACCCCCTGTTTATAAATGAAAAGCGGTTTACACACAACTCAGCTGATTTCGTTCGAACATTTCCGGAACAAGTATTTCACTGACGAATTTTGTTCGAACCACAACGCTGTAAATGCTTCACCCACGTACCACAAATATAAATAATCGCCAACAGAACTAAACACCTAACCTAACCTATGCCTATATATATATAAAATATGCTAATATATTATAGTATTAATTTATATTTGAGAAAATTCCAGTTTTGAATGAACAGATGTTAAAATTTATGAATGCGTCTGTGGGGTCGACTGCTGGATGTAATGGACTTGAGTTGAGGACGGGTTGCCCTATCGCCTAATACCTGTATTCACCTAGTCATAAAAGGTGCCAATAATAATAATAATAATAAAAACTATTAATAATAATACAATATTTTATTTATAAAAAGTATTATAGAGGATTTGATAACAATGTTTTTAATTGTTATGGTATAATTTATATTCTTCATAACGCGATAGATATTTTAAAATATATTGTATATAATAGTAATTTTTAAAGTTAAATGTATTAGAGATGTCAGAGGATAATACCAGAGACTGAACATTGCAATAGAGTCCGCCAGAAACTATTTTGTTGACTTGTGAACGACATTTTTTTTTTAAAGACACACAAGGCAACGTTTTATTAATTACTCATAAATATTTCGAATTAATATATCAGTAATATTTTAGGTATAATTGGTGCTAAATTGTGAAATTATGGTGTGAGAAACGAATGAGGGAGGCAATGTCATGAGGCCGACAACGAACGCTCCTCACTCGTCTCGTCGCCATCTTGCGACGAATGTGAACAAAAGCTCGGGGCGCAGCCTAATTTCTTGGGAGTCTCTCGCTCCCAAGACTCTCTTGCCTTTATTTTACCCGGCACACTCCCCCGACCTCCGAGCCTGTGTTCGATTAGGATACAGAGCATTTTTACTGTTTGTGTGTGACATAATGGCTTGCTAAACATCAAGATGTCTGGTGGCTGTGTTAACGGTGCTAGGGGAGTTCTCTCCGTCCTGTGCTCCACCTTGGTGTATGGACACGCCGCCTGTAATGGACAAGAAGGCCGCACTCAGGCTGCCTCAGCTGCCTGCTAAGACCGGCCTCGAAGCTACTGGTAAAGGTGAGGCTGGGTGAGAGACGGGTGGGCAGGTGGCGTAACCCCCTTATCACGCCGCCATCACTTGAGGCGCCCTCTACGACCTACTCACGCCCGTGACACCTCTTGTAGGGGCTTAATCTTCATCTATCCATCAATCTGGCTCTGTTGTCACTAATGGCAAGTGGAGGGGAGCGGGTGGTATGGGTAGTGGTGGGTGCAGGTCCCGCCCCACACAGTGTCGAGCCGTGACGTAGTGGCCCCGGCCTCCTCAAGACGTAGATTGATTGATTGATCAAGATTGTCAGTCTTGAGGTGTCACGGGCATGCCAGCCTAGTTACGTCTTGCCCGTAACAGGACATAGGCCGTGCATGCAGTTCTATTGCTAATTACCAGGGCTGTCTTGGGGCTCGTAGCACTTCTACAAAATTCCATTGTTTAAATGTCGAGATATTCATTAACCTTTTGGAAAATGCTAAATCTTTTTTATTTATAATTGTACTTCCAAAGTATAGCATGCCAAAAATGTGCAGATAGAATTCTGGGATTTGTAGTAGTTTATATTTTGATTAGAGAGTGTACAGTTAATTTCTTTCTTACAAGAGTTGGAGTATACAGGGAGACAGGAATAAATTGTATAAGACAATAATAACAAAACAATTTGCACCAAACCTGGCAAAGAGAACTGAATTTAAAGTTTTGAAAGAATATTTAAAGGTGATTTATGTTGGTAATCGGTAAAGTAAAATTTGCTAGTATCTGGTCTCTAAATACAAGGTGTTTGCTATTCAAATCATATTTATAAATAAAAATCCTAGTACAGAAAATGGTATATGGCAAGAGATGTTTATCTATAAAATGACACCACAATGCAGTGTGTCGGTACAATTCTTTGATAAAACCTTTACCAGAATGTCTTGCCAGATGTACCACTGCAGGTTGTCAGACTTGTTGGGACCCAAGAGCTGGACATATCACATCTTTGTAATAGTTTTGCCATTTTGCCATACAGTGTGTGACCTTGAGCCATACCAACTGGTACCTCCTAGATGTCAGGTTAACTAAAGTCTGGATAATCAAATTTAATTTTTAATTTTCAACATTGGGTGAATTTTGGAGGAAAATATAAGTTTCATATGAGGGACATCAGGAGAACCTGAGTGAAGAGTTCACCCTCTTCCCGAGTGTTTTCCAGGACATTTTCGGGTGGGGAGTTTGACTGGGGTGGTGCATCTATGAAATGATGCAGGTGTACTAAGGCCAGCTCAGCATGGTCGCTTCCCGACACATACACTGTGAACATGGGAAAAAAAATCGATGAATGAAGTGAGACGATGGAAAAACAAATGGACAGTTATTTCTGTGCAGCACCTACCCTCATTTCTACTGAAAACCCCAACTTCTCTGGGCCACTACCGGCTAAATCATGTTAGGTAGACTTTTGATTTTTGTGATTCTTGGATAGTTTTTCAGAACAATAAGTTTTTACTTTTGCACATGACGCGCATCAAAATGGCCTGTGTAGTTATGTTATAGATTAAGTAATGATTTATGTATTTATGAAATTATGCATTGTGTATTTGAATGCTTTAGTATCTTGTACTGTATTATTTTCATCTGATTTGGAGGTAAGGTACAGTACTTGCTCTTGGTTACCAATACTGGCAAAAGACTTAATACCGGTACCTGGCAAGATTATTATCCATAATGCACTTTTCAGCATTACATTGTGATGAAAGCCATGATCAAACAAAATATTTTTCCAAGAAAATATATGGGAAATGTGGGAAACATAAGGCATGTGTATGCAAAAGTACGAAAGAATGTAAAGTATGCAAAAGAATGCCAAAATAAATATATACCCCACACTAATTTGTAGTTGCAAGACTACTGGGAGAGACTATTTGAGTTATTGCAACTTCATGTGTTACATTGGTATTCAAACACTGATGTAAGATGTAAATCTTCATTTGATGACTGCATTGCACTACTGTCCTTTATTTGGGTGCTGCTTGTAAATTACTGGCAACTTTATCATAGGCATGTTCCTTATTCTGATTGTGTATTATCTGAAAAGCTGGGTGATAATAAATTTTTTTTTTTAAGATTATGGAGGAAAGAAATCTTTACCACAACATGCCCGGAAACGGGAATATGACCGTCTCGACTCGGGAAGGAAACCGGTGGCCGGGCGCGGTGGGAGGACGGGCCAGCGGTATGTCCGTCCCAGGGAGAAGATGGGTGGCAAGGTAAGGACAGTCTGTTTAGATTTGTAAAGTTTGATTCTGCCATTTCTAGCTCGTGTATTGCTATGCAAAAATCTTGAGCACCCCCAACCTATTAAAACATTCATTATGGTAATATAAACTATAAAATATATGTACTTTTATCATTTGATAGGAATTTTCTATTTTGGGCTCTTTCACAACATTTATACCCATTATCTTTGTGGGTTTAGTTTGTCGGAAGTTAGCCATGTTCCTCCTATAACCATTTTGTAGGGTGGTTTCACAATACTGATGCAATAAGGATACAGTATTCAGCCAGATTAAGAAATAAATCTCTCGGCCAGTTCAGGCGGTTATTGTGATCAGTGTTTGCATTATGTTCTGATCTTAATGCAGGTCGTAGAACTACATCTTTTCATGTATGGTGGATAGTTTAAATTCTTCATTCAGATTTTGTGCATATGGCAGCATCAATAATCAGTTTCATGGCTTCATTATGCATTTTCTAGTGGTTTTCAACCTAGTGCTGAGAATTCATTAGCTGTCAGATGACCAAGGTAACATGTACTGTATTGTATAAGACTGGCAGTTTTAAAATTGATGCCAGATATTACCAACAATTTTGTTCAGAGGTTTTTCTTTATTTTTGCTTATTTGCAGTGGTTTATAAAGTTTTGCTGTTAGTGCCCCACATGGCTATTTGTATTGCCTACAGTTTTTCAAAGTGGTGATTATTTACTTCAAAATAGAAAAAAAACTTCCATACTTTACCTGGGTATTGTACTGTACTAAAAAATTGAGGCAGTGTGCAGTGAGACATTTGATTTGTATAGTTCTAGCAAATGGTTTAGAAAAGTCTGCAAATAGCCTCGGAGTACAGTAATGTACTGCTGTTACACCATCTTTAGGAGAACATTTCAATAATTTGTGAATGTTGTGTATTGGTTTAAAAAAAAACCAAAAAAAAAAAAAAACCCTGACAGTCTTGAATGCCATTGACAGGTAGAGGAAGCTACAAATGCATCGGATTCTGGGTCACTGTACTGCACAGGTGGCAAGAAGCAGAACATAACGCACCTGATGAACTGGTGGGGTCCAGGCCACAGGCCTCAGGGCAGCTCTGTGGGCAATTATCAGGGAGGCAGGGCTCGAGTGAGGCGCTACTCCAATCACACTCCCAAGTACAGCAAGGAACATTATCTGCAAGCCAAGTGAGTCATTTTACAGGAATATAATTAAAACTTTTTCACTCTGCAAAACCAAAGAATAAAAAATATATGTATATATATTTTTAAACACTTATGTCTGTTTAAAGAGTTTGAAATGGTTTTCTTTAGCTTTAAGTAATTATCATTTGTAATGCATTTGAAATGGCTTTGTCTAATACAGTTAATACATACTGTACTTAAAATTCTTCCAAACCAGTTGTTATTAATGAGCACTTAAATGTTTTCCTTGAATGTTGAATTAATACTAATTAAACCCTTATTATTTGACAGCTGTCAGTTTGTTGTGAATGACCAAGGAGACTATTCTGTGTATTCTGCCAATCAAGACCTTCTGGTTGACTGGAGCTTCATTGAGGAAGTGAGGCTTCACGTTTCCGAAGCACCTGCCTGCCCCATCTGCCTTCACCCACCGGTTGCTGCAAAGGTTGGCTTCACTGTGGTTAGCAAGCTAGCTTTAGAAATTGCTTGACTGTAGGTCTTGTAGAAAGAGAGCTTCAAAAGTTATTCATTGCTGCTTGTCAAAATTTATATTTAGGCTTCTGTATCGACAGAAAAGTTAACTAACTTTTGAGGAATTATTTGTTTAGATGGGTAAAACTAATTTCAACCTGTTGTCCAACAATTATATTGCAGCAGTTGATATTGGGTCAAAGTACAGAAAAAACTTGTATGCATAAAGTTTTCTATTTTATAACAGAACAGGAAAGTATGCAACAACCTAACCTTTCCTAGGCCTAGTATAGTACATACCCTAAATTAATCTTAAGATAATATACTGTACTGAGGATGGATTCCATAATTTGCAATATAATTATAAATATCTGAAGCTGTTGTACATTTGTCACTTCTGTTTTACTTAAAACTTAGTTATGGTACTAGTCACTTCTTTTTCTTATAAGGCAGAATTGTATTCTCCAGTGCTCTCTAGCACCTATGACCCTGCAAAGACTTTGGTTAGTTTCCTTTAGTATGAGTGCCAGTATGTTGCTCACCTAACTGTACATGATCCTGTTAGACACTGTGGGGTCTTGCCTTGTACAATTGAAGGCTTCTACTAGTTAGTTTAGTTAATTTATTATGCACCCCCATAGCCATCTTGTGGGCAGTAGTGGAAAGGGTTACAGAGGCACATAATGGGCTCAGGGACTGAACTAAAAGATGACATTTTCATATTTGACTAGACATTTATTTTATAGGCTTTTATAGGCCTTTTACTTTTCTCCTGATTCATAGTTGATGCCATTTTTTTTGGCAGTTACATCTTTTGTATACAATATTGCTTGGTTTCTTCCAATACTTGTCCTTGCCATTGACAAGTCTTGGCACTATACAGTACTGTATTTTAAGCCTTAAACTGTTGTTGAATTACATGATTGTAATTTTTGTGAATTTTAGGTAACGCGCTGTGGACACATCTATTGTTTCCCGTGTATTCTGCATTACCTGGCGCTCTCCGATAAGAAATGGCGGAAGTGTCCTATTTGCTACGAACCGATCGTCAAAGAAGACCTAAAAAGGTAAGAATCCTGTTTGAAATGGAACTATACCTTATTGGGTGATGTTTAGCAATACTGTTGGGAGAATTTTGTTTGGAATCCTTGTGAAAGACAAAGGTTAAAATAATTATAAAAGCCCTCTAAGAATAATAGGTGCTACATATTCAGAAAACCGTTTTAAAAAGTTTGTACGTACCCATCGAACAAACTGTTTATTCTGTAAGAGCTTGCTAATTCAGACCTTGGTAGTTTTGGATCTCTTGTTAATTTGGCTAAAATAGTCTCTTATTCACTTGATTTGGAGAGAAAGCAGGATTAGAGTACAGTACCTGTGTTCCTGTTTGGTTACCGAATGATAAATGGTGATCTCTTGTCTATAACATAATAAATTAAAACTATGCATTAATAACAAAGAAAAATGAGTAAATATTGATACACTATGCTGCCTGTGCCTGTAGTCGTAGACAATTGCCCTGCTTAAAATAGGCAATTGGTTTTTCATTTGGAGGGGGAGGGAGACATATATTTTACTCCAGGCGGACTTGTCCAGATTTCTTAAATTTGCCCACTCGTGTGTTATCCTCTTTCTTGAAACTACTGTACATAGTGCCACTATATTAATGAGTCTTAACGTTTCTTCAATCGAAACTTGGATTGCTTGCCAAGAATAAATGGTAACTGCACCAATTGGTGTGATGTTAAATGGAAGGAGGTTACACTTGTCAATTAAGGAAGAGCCTTGGTAGTTAAACTTTGAAGAAAAGTTCTGCTGCGAGTGTTACCAGGGAATTTAGTATAGGCAAGAGTCTGGTGTTATGTTGGGAAACGAACTGAACAAAACTACATGTAATGCATGATTGCTGATTAGAATGAGAAGAGGCAGCTCTGAGATTATAACAGAAAACCTTTATCTGCACATCATGCTGTTACAGAGGCTGTGTATAAATGATCTGCACAGATCATAATGTGGTTGTCAATCTGCAGTGAAGAAATGAGGAATGTAGCTGGCAGGTTTGCAATCGGCTTGGGATTAAAATCTTTCTGGGCAGATGATTGGAGTGCGAGATTTAAATGGGCACTACAAGGTAGAGATTTTGTTGATGAATCAGTGAGGGCAACTTGGAGTTCTTTAAGAATATGGTAAATTGTTGGAACATTTAATTTAAAATTTATAATGGCAATAACACTGGTTTATTGGAGTTTGCCTGATAAAATTTTACCTATGATAGAAGGCAACTATACCAGAGTGCCAAGTGAATAATATTGTCAGCAGTGGTGTGTGTCAATGCAGATGGACACAAACCATGTGTGCAATCACTGGAAAATCGAAGACTAGCTTTAAAAAAATTAGTCCAAACGGTCTGCTTGTAAAAATTATAATTCAAGGAATGCGTGTTAACTGGTTTGGTGTGTTTTGCAAGAAAGTTTGTAAACCTCAAAGTAACATGGAGTGAGGCAAAGTGAAGGTTTTACTTTGTCTTTGCTTGATAATTTCACTGTTCCACCCAATATTGAGAAGGTCAGTGTGGAGAATTAAAGAACTTCAGTGATAAAGATGTAAACTCCGCCAAGGTAAGTAGATATCTCTTTCCACTTCATTATTTTTGTGAAAATTCTTCCCTAACGATGTAAATTTGGTTGAAATGCAAATTAAGTTGGTTGTGGTACAAAAAATAGTGATCTGTTAATTAATCTGACCAATTTGAACGTTGCCAAATCCTGATTGGGGCTGCCTCCCATATGATTTCAAATTGGTGAGCTTGCACAGCTTTCACAAAAAGTGTTTAATGTCCAAATAAGAACAACCTCTCTTAAAGTTGCATTATGTTATTGTGGTATTGGTGGAGGATACTTGCAGTGGTGTGGTGACCATTTGAGGGGCACTATGTAATGAGGTTGAGGTATGTAGAGTTGGTAAAAAGAATTGTGAATTGTGATATGTATGATGCCACCCTTCAAACTTTAAAATTTTTTGGCGAAAATGTTAATCTTAGTTATGACAAAAAAAAGGTACTACAGTAAAAGATATGGTCTTAGAACCACATTTTTTAATATTGTTACATTCGCTGAACAAAATTTGGAATTTCCAAAATGGGGAAAAAAATGGCCATACTTTTTTTTCAGTCAAGCTTTTTTTTTCAGTTGGTCTTTTCAGTCAATTTTTGGGCAAGATTGGTTAAACTTGCAATTACATGGAATTTGGCAATATTTTAAGTACAGTATGTACAGGTAATATATATGACTTGAATGTTATGCGATAGCTTTCACTATAGTGGCGCTTCCTTTTGAAGTATAATAATTCGTCTTTTGTACGAAGTTACGAAAGTTTGTGCCTCGCATTTGCAATAATTTGTTGTAACTAGACATTAATAGACTTTGTGACTTTATTTGCTGTTTGGTAGAAATGAGTGGCTTTGAAAGTTCTTCAAAAAAATTTCAGTGTGGTAGCCATATGCCACAAGGAATTTAGCATCGGTGAGGAAATAGAGCTACAGCTTATGCGTCGGGAGCGTGATTCTCTCCTGCCTGTACCAGCAGCATCATTCAACCAAGAGATTATTAAAAACCCACCACGCTTCAGCAACCCAACTGCTGCGACGCCTTACGCTAAACTGCTCATTTCCTCCAAAGAAGAGGTACTGTATTTCCTAAAGCATTAGAATTGAAAGTGTGCATTCGGTGGAAAGTCGCAATAGCTGGTCTCTTCTTTTTATCAACTTGGCATAGAAAGTGCATATTGTACCTTAATCACTAACTTTTCAGTACTAATTTTATATACAGTATTTCATTAGTCTTTCTGTAACTGAAAGATGCTAGATATGTATTAAATATAAACCTCTGGGGTGTAACTAATGCATGTGAATTTATTTTTTAATTGTTGGTAACCCTTTTATTGCTTTTAGAAACGTACAGTATGTAATTTCCATCATATAGATTCAAAGTAAATGGTACTTTTTATAAAAAATGCAATCCAAGAACCTCATTGACTGCTTGGGGAAATTGGCATGCAAATGTATGTACGTATTTAAAAAAAAAAAAAAATTGAGGAATTGCGATGTATCTGAATCTTTGGAGTACGACAGTGATATAGTGAATTCGAGTGGACTCCAGGTTGTGCAAGTTTTAACCATATTGTGGTCCATGGGTTAAGGCACACCTCAGGGGTGACCTAGAACACTTGATTGCATCCTGCTGTCTGGTTCAAAAGTTTTTCTAATAAGAGGATAATCTGGAGCATTGTGTGATAACATAATAGTGCTATGTAAGAAGATTGACTGACTGTAAATATTGATGGTTCCTGACCAAGATGGAAGAGGTGAGAGAACAGTTGTGTTGATAATAAAGGGAGTTTATTCAGTAGCTATATTGAGACTGAAAAGTGAATTTGAATTGTGGTTTACACTGAATACTTTGTGAAGAATATTATAAAGTGCATAATAGTGTAGTTGTGCCTATGGTAAAGGAGTTGTGTACTTGGGGCTCTGCCTTGTAGATACTGTACCTGGTGCATTTATATATCCCTGTCAGTTGTACTTAAGCTGTAAATGTAGGTAGCGTTAAAGTCTTTTACTGCAAGCGCATTAAATTTGCTTACCATCTACTAAGAGTTTGCATTTCCAGTTTCCATCTGTGAAAAATTTTTCTGCCATAACTCCTAGGGGGGGGGGGGGACTATTCCTCTTGGTATGTTTTGATCATATTACCTCTGGTCTGTCTTTAGTGTAGTTAGACCTCTTGGTGTGGCCTTTTCAATTGAAGATCCGTAGGTCTGGCAGTCTTGTCAAATCTTGTACCTGTTTTCATGCTGGTGCTGCATGGTTTCAGGATTGGCCAAGCCGTGTAGTGTCTCAACGATGTATTATAATTTCTAACGGCCATTTTTATATTTGCCAGTTTTCTACCTGATGCAGATGCTATTTTATTTGTGCATCTTTGGTATTAACCCTTTGGCCTGTGCACCACAATAGTGCTAAAATCATTGAAATACAGATTATGTGATTTGCTCCTGCTGTCCATGTTCCTAGAGGCAAGTTTCAAAATAGTGTAATTTTCACCCAGGTCCTATGATTGTCAGTGTACATATGGACACTACTTGCTGCCATCTGTTGGTAACGATCAAATATCTCCATGTAGTGACTTTACAAAGTCAGTCTTCTGCAGACATTAAATATCTTTTTCTCCTCCAGTAAGTAGGTTGTATATATGTGGTAACAAGTTAAATATGCCAGGTCTCTTGAGTTTAATTTGCTTTATATTTATATTTAGGTGTGTGCATGTGCGCATACATACCGCTTAAAGTATCATTGTTGCCACCTAGAAATATTCGGGGTTTAAATGGTCATCCAATATAATTAAGAATGTCGTCGTTGCAAAATTCCACTGGCTGTGGAGCTCTCGTGACATCAAAGTTGACTCTCATTATTGCTGTTAGAGAGTACCATGCTACTATGGTATCAGATGTTGTTGACTGGAGGAAACAATTGTACATCGTGCGACTTGAATTTACCCATGTATGGATACTAGTTGCTGCTTTGAAGCTACTGGATTAGGTTTTTTATGGTCATCTTTAAATTTTTGTGTGGCATTTAGAATTCTGTGGCTGCCATGCAGTTCTGTTTACTCAATTTAATGTTCCTTCTAGTGTGACCTCCAAGATTTCCTCAAAAATGAGACTGAATGTGGGTTAAAGTATAGATGCTGGTAGAAATGCAAAAATTAGAAAATGTGAGAATACAGCAGGTAGCACATCCCATGCACAGTTCATCTGCATGGGTTAACAAAATGTTTGTGTATGTCAGAGGGCTGCTGTAAATATGTAGTTCAGTGGTGCTGCTTCTGTGATTACCTTTGTAGAAAATGTAGTGCTTGGAAGCAATGTGGTTTTGAATACCATTGGCTTTTTTTTTTTTTTATGTATTGTACTTTCCTGTCCCCCCTCCTTCTCTTCCCTTCATATGTGGGGGGAAAGGGAGGAGGATTAAGAGATGTTAAATGGGCTTAGCCTAATCATGATTTTTGTTTACATACAAATACATTTGCATTTATATAGGTACAATGCTACATACTAATGAGAGAGAAGAGGGATTTGGAGGCTCAGCTAATAGAAGAGGGGGATCAGCCCGAGGCGTGCTTCATTGACGAGGCCCTGTCACTCCTTCAAGCCCGTCAAGATTCTTTAAATTCTGGAAAGTGTATTGAAGACCTGCTTAATAAAACTGGTGGACTGGAAGCTTTATCACTGTCCAGTCCAGAGGAACAATCGTCAGGTGATGGTGCATCTTCGGTGGAAGCTCCATCGAGTCCTGTTTCTACTGCTGAGGCAGAAGAGTCAATGCCAAGTGAACTTCCACCAGAACAAATTATACGATCAGATGGTGGCAAACCAATCATTACTGTAGAAGATTTGGACATATCACAGCTGCAACCAATTAATCAAAACACTACTGGGAGCCAGGTAAGCTAATGCGTGTACTCTCTAAAATACTTGGGTAGCTTTTGTTTAGATATAAACATTGTGTAAAAGGGCAGAATAGCGTGAAAACAAACTTGAGCCCCAATGCCTTCCTCCCTCCTAGGTGCTTTCCCATCAGGGAGTGGCCGTGGCCAAAGTTTCTGCCACGGCCCGAACTATCACATGAGAATTTTTTTTTCTTCTTCAGAGCTCTGGCCCCAATCCTGCTAACTTGTTTCACTCCTTCCTAATATTGGTTGTGCCTGTATCATAGGTCCCCCTTATTGTCATTGTACAATCCATACCACCTTGGTGTATTGTGCTGTGCACTCTTCATGACTGCACTACACTCCTTCACCGCTTTTGAATTGTACCACATTTCAGCCAGTTCCACATTGCTAAACCCCATGACATGGGTTTAGCAATATTTCTTCCCTAATTTTTATATTAGCTCAAATAGCTCTGACCACTCAAGATCTGACAATTCAGTGTATCGTTAGAATGGTATAGTATCTTGTTGCCACTAACACTAGTTCCTTTATCTTGCTTCCCTAGCTGTTAGAACAGCTTATTCTATATTCTGAGGGTTAACATTAGTTTACTTGTAATATATTCTTCACGAAGATCTTCCAGCTCCGTCAAAATCCTTGCAATTTTGCACGGCTTGAGTGGTCCATAATGTGGTCATGCTGCACATTCAGTGGCTGGAATGTGATGTGCACAATATCTAGCACATCTTTTTACTAAGAATAACATTTTTTCGATATAGCAAACGATCACTAGATGTGATTAGTGGCAAATATTATCGCAGAATTGGTGGGACATTTAAATATTATGGGGCGACAAGTTGTATCCTGACGATGGGAGCCGTGTTCCCAATTGCTTCAGAATGACAGCCTTTGGCCTGCCCTAAATATGGTAACAAAGAACACTATAAATAGTATTATTGTAATACATAAAGTTAATAAGTTACTTTTCTTTTTTCCAGGCACAGCGGAATGTTCCTAAATCAACCTTTTACTTCTATCAAGCCAGCAATGGAGCACAAGCATACCTGCATGCTCTTAATGTGCAGATGCTGGTGCAGGAGTATGGTGCCTTGGAAAACTGCCCTTCGATTATTAAAGCCAAAGTGGTGGAGAAGGCAAGTAAAAAAAAAAAAAAATGTAAAAGTGGCATCGGTTTACATTCACTTGTTGAATTAATTGACCATTTGTTTGTGATAAATTTCTTAATATACAGTACTTTGTTAAAGGTTTTGTATATACTTGTGTATAATTTTTTTTTATAATGTAGGAGTCCGTGTCCATGACGGAGGAGCTTCGTATGCGCCTGAGATACTTGCGTCACTTGCCAGTGACTTGCAGTTTTGATGTTGTAGAAGTGTCTCTTCCTCTCCCAGTTGTGTCAAAGCTCACACTAGCAATGTTCCAGGTAGGATTTAACTTTTATTTGATTTATACCAATGGCAGTTTTTCATGGAAATGAGTAATTCTTGTATTAATGTGGAAATGTGAATTAAATTGGTTGCAGTAAATTTCCCCTTCACATTCATCATAAGAACTAGGGGCAACCGAGAATGCGTAACTTGTGGAAATATAAAAAATATAATCCTAATTAGTGAGCGATTACTGTAGGTGCAGAAAAAACTTGTCTAATGGGTAGAGGTGCTAATACAAATATGGATGGATTTGGTGTGGAAAGTGTGCAATATTGTACGTTGGTTATGTCTGTGCAAGAGGCGAGTACATCAGTTGGGAAACTAAAATGGGAGAATGCTACAGATGTTGAATTACGTGCAGGAATTAAATAGGTTGCCAGGGAAGGAAAGTGTCTGGTGTAGTGAAAACCATTGTTGGATAAAGCATGTTAAAAGTAGACAGTGATGTACAGAAGCAGTAGTGCTGACCCTTGTGAACATTTGCAGGGCAATTGAAGTTCGAACGTAAAAAATAGTTAGAAATAAATCGTGAGAAGCATATGGGGTGTTGGCCTCATTCAGCCTTGAGAAATGATATTCTGCTTGAAATTCCGCTTTTAAATTCTCTGCAGTGGTTTGTTGGGAATGAAGAATGCATAGCTCCGTCTAATAGTTTTAATTTTATTATAGGATCAGATTGATTCAAGGCAACGTAAACGCAACAAACGAGCACGTGAAGAACGAAAAATAGAAAAGCGTGTGCAGGCAGAGGAAGATCGCATGATGGGACGCAGCAAGGGAGCCACCAACCTTAAGATTGGGTCTTTGAGACAGTTTCCGTCATTCTGTGATGATTTTCCATCTGGGTATGAATATTTTTTTTTTTTTTTTTGTTCCAATATAAATTCTTCACTTAACCATACTGTTCTTAACTTGAGCTAACTGTACCACAGTTTAATCTTTCCTTTTGATGGACTTGCTGATGGCAGTGGATTAATTATAATTTGCATGTTATCTGATTCTTTATAAATGAGACTTCCATTTAAAAAATGGCAATTCCTTAAGCTTGCATATTTTAACTTGTGTACATGTGCTATGCACACGTGATTTTTATTTCTAGTACAGTAGTATAATTATTTTGTAATGGGTGTTTATTGACTCTACTGTATTTTCTTCAATTATGGTTGTTTACCTTGGATTTTATTTTACAAAATATCCTGCAGGCCCAGCAGTGAGATAAATGATGGGGCAAATTCAAGCTTGGAGCAGTTTGGAAGTGAAACTGGTAGCAGTCCTGGTAGTGATGTGTTGGGGAGTTCCTGCAATGACACGACGAGTACTGGCATGTCTTTTGCAAAGGTTCGTTTACAAGAAATCCAAAATGATTCAGAAAATTTGAGGGAGGAAATTACCAGTAGTTTAGAAGTCTTAAATTTAAATACTTTGCTGTTAATTATGCACATAAGGTGGTGCAATTTGTTTGTAATGTGTGCAGTAGTAGTATTGTGACGTTTTAAGAGTTCATAATTGTGGGAGTTGCATTCGATGAATGGGAATAGCCATAGAATAGATTTACTGAAGCTGTAACAGAAAGGGAAGGATATGATGTACAGCAGTTATTCTGATGAACCTCCTTGCTGAGCATTTTGTGTAAACCTGTTTGACTATTTGTATTAAGTTTGCTTTCAGAAGTGTCTAAAACTGAGAGGCTCTTTGTACATGAAGAAAAGATATTTTAAGAGAAATGCTCAAATGTTATCAGTTTGTGTACATTACATTGTAAAAAAGGGGAGAATAACTTCTTTATGGAATTGGTTTAGACCCCTCTGTTATGAGGACAAAGACTTGAAGCTTCCTTCCCATCTACTGCTTGCCAGCAGCTAAATTGTAATAAAATAGGGTAATATTTTTATTTAATCAACCATCGGTCATTTTCCATTCTCATCTTGGCTTTACTCTCGGTTAAAGTGGCTCTCAAACCCTCAGAGCTGCAACTATAGTAGATGCATCAAAACAGTTGCCCAAATATCAGGAATTGGGTGAATAGTCTCAAACCAGTATTGCACAGGAAGAGGATTATAATGGGCAATTTAAACTTGCTTTAATCTTGATAACATTAATGCCATGCATGAAGGAACAACGTATGGAAGACGTGTAATGTCTAGCATAATGTTTGCTAGTAGAATACTGTAGTTTTACAATCCTAGTCTGCCTGTTAAAATTTAGCTTGTTCAAATTTTGCAAGTTGGTCAGGTCACTTGATCTAGTGACTATATTTTAGATTCAAAACCAAAAATTTATAAAGTCCAAGGATGTATTTAATTGCAAAATTTACAGGGTAGATGAGGGTAAAGCTTTTAAGATTTATAATTATTTTAGTGTAATTTGGGTTTGCAAATATAGTTCGTTCATATTTACAGCCTTCCATTTTACAAACTTTTTATTTAACAGTAGTGCAATCTTAAATTAATTGATTTCCTTTGCTTTTATTTCAGATGATTAGAGAAGGTCAGACACGGGTGCAACATTCTCCAAATGAAAGTGTCAGCATAACGGGTGGAGTGTGGCCCTCACTTGGAGGACCAGGCTTGAGATCAACTGAATCTTCTGCATCAAAATGGAATAGTGGCAAGTTATAATTTCATAGTTGAGGCGGATGATTGCAATAATTAAATTCTAGTGACAATGAAGACCTGATAATCACCTAAGTGTTATTGCCTTTACAATATCAGGCTTTTTTTTTCCAGAATAATTATTAAATGACTTTCTTTTGAAGTAAATATTGTTGGGCTTGTTAGCATAGTTAGTGAGGCTAAGAGTATTCAGTCTGGCCATGGTTTAAAAAAAAAAAAAAAAAAAAAAAAAAATTGGATGCAAAAGGAAAGTTGAAATGACAAATACCTACATATTTACTGGTTTGGGGTGCTGTAGAACATGGGTGTAAGGCACCCTCTGCTGTACACACAACCTTGTATCTTGTTGACAAAATCTTGTATCTTGTTGACACGGCAGCATGTGTTTCACGCATCCAAGATCCAGTGATGAACTTGGATGTTTCTAAAATTGTTTCTTTACATTTTAGTTCATTCACTATATGGTAGTATGTGTTAAATAACTAGATTTATATAAATGCAATTGACAAAAAAATGTGTAATGAGTACATTAACATTTTAAAGATATATTTAGGCCTACAATGAATGAACGTGTATACATTAATAAGAACCAAGGGTAAGGCTTAGTTGGTTCTTAAAAGGCGGCTCCTGTTTATATCCTCCCAAACTCGTTCATGTATGGGCCTATTCACCCATACGAGGATATAAATAGCTGCCTAATATGGGCCAATACGCCTCCTGTGGGTCATTAATATGTTCAAATGATTGGCTGATCTAGTATACTTCATTACAACTACAGTATATAGTTGTGAAAACCATATGACCATAATCAGTATACGTGTCGTGTAATTATAACGTAATTTTTATACCGTGACACGGTATTGCCTTGGTAATGTTTGACATTACTATTGGGGGGCGGCCAAGGTAACCTCGGTGCATCCATACCGTTATTATATCTAAATTAGCATCCTCAATATAACACCCAGACAATAATTGTTGATTTAAATGATAAGTTAAAGCAAACTGCTTTAAGTTCTCAAAGTAGTTTGAGGGTTAAAAGGGTTTTAAACCTTTGCTTCTATTGACATTAGTACCTCGATGTGTTATACCATCTAAAATATCCTCATTGTTTTGCTAACCATAATATCTGCCACTGAAACTCTGGCAATGGTTCCACACTTAAATTATACTACAAAATTGATTGAATAGACATTAAATTTTCCTTTTTCAGTGAAAGGACAATTTGCTCACATCCCTGTGGAAATTTTTTTTTATTGGTGTAAATGGCTGTATTTTGGAGAAATGCTTAAAATTTTATAAAGATTGTTTGACTTCACTTGCCAAACATTGGCTTACTTTAACTATAGGAAATTTATTAGAATTTTCCTTGTTGACTCTATTTATAGATACAGTGCACTGATAAAATTTTAATTTATTTAAATTTTAATATGGTACTGGATGATAATGGTTTTATACTCTCATTTGAAATTGTGTGCTAAAATTAGGTTTATTAGCACTGGTACAAATAATGGAATATGGTATTGTAAATATGCTTGATATTTGGACAAGTGTTTCCATCTATACAGTGTATACACTGAAGTCTTTGCCATTGTTTCTTCACGCTGTATTACCTTTCAACTTTTCAGAGAAATACCCAGTCTGTGATTCTCTACTTAAATCATGTGCTTGCAGGTAGTTCACATGGCATTAGCAGCTGTCCTTGGGAAGGGAGGCAAGGAATTCGGTCGAGTGAATTGTTTACAAATGATGGGAACTTGAGTGAGGAAGAGGAGTGTTTGGCTGTACCAGAATTCAAGCATGCTTTTAGTGCTGGTGTGGCCAGGGCTTTAGATGCCGCAGCAGCAAAATCTGCAGGTGAGCAGAGTTTTTTCTTTTTACCCAGACCAGTATGTGCCATTTTCCTAAAATTGCTCTGCTGTTCTATGGTACAAGGGTTCCTTGCAAAGTACATACTATATTTGGGGTCAAGAAATGGATAAGCTTTCAATTGGAATTTATTTCATTCTTTTGTAAGACATGTGGAATTGAAACTTTGCATGAAACTTTAAAGTTGAAATGTTAGGAATAACTTGCTATAGTCATAATGACTTGATGCTTTCTCCTGATAATTACCTTACTGTGGCCCTAAGTCTGTGTCTGTCTGTGTACATAAGTGGTGATTCCATAAACTTAATGTACTAGTTTCATATGGTTTGATGACATCAAAAGCCGTCTTGCATAGTCATTTTCTTTCTGATAAGTTTCTAATGCTTTGATGAATGATCCTGTGAATTTTTTTTCTTTATCCAGCAAAGGCAGAAGAAACTGTGGCAGGAGGCAAGAAGGGGAAGAAGAAAAAGAAGCAGAAGGTTGTTTTGTTCTCCTCTGGAGGCCTGAACTAGTCTTCCTCCAGGCACCATCACTCTTGTTGTGGACTCAGTGCTCTTTGTGTGGGATAGTTTACATCTTGTACTTATTGTCCTCCTGATTTTCAGACTTGATCAAATAATTTTGTTACTTGAAATTCCTCGGTGCCTGGGTATTTGTCATTGTTGATGCATACTGCCTTTTTAAAGTTGGGTAAATTTTAATTCATTATTTTAATAAAGGTGAAATTTGTTACAAATTTCAGTTTATGTAACGATTAGTTAGGTTTCACATTACTGCCATTCATACATTATGCTATGTTCCTAACTGTGATGAGCTAATGTCATCTTGTATGTGCGCCCCTTGCATCTTGCGTGCAGCTCCATTATGCTATACTGGCTTAATGCCTTTGTTCAATGGCTTTTAAATTTATGGTTTTCTAAATATCACTTGGGTATTACTTTGTAGATACATCCATTGTAATGCTTATTGTATGGCACTGTTAGATTTCCATTGTTTTCAGTTTTTCCAAGCCGCTTATTTAATTTAACAATATGCATATTGTACTATGTACAGCATAGTGTGTGAAAACATGTATGTACTAATTGCTGAAAACCAGTATAAATTAAATGTTTCTTTCAGTAACATTATTGCTTGTTTTAAAATCTTGATTTCAGTAGAGCTAGTTATCATAAAGTTTCCGAAGTATGGCTAATGTCTCGACATATTGCTGACTAGTATATTTTGTGATTGAGAAATAAACCTTTTTATGACCTACATCTTGTCAATGGCATATGTGAATTTGTACCATTTCTGTAGCAGCACCTGTTGCTTTGGAGTCATTGAATAAACTAAAAAATCCTCTTACTGCTTCTAACTACCATACTAGACTTCTTGATTCCGATTCTTTAATTTCTCTTTCTAGATGTTTGAGAAATTTTAATGTTTGACATGAATTTTTGTATTAAAGATTCTTGTGGAATCTGCTTTTAACTTTATAATTAACCACCACCCTGTAGCTACGGTTTCAGACGGTTTCCTTCATGTGTGTAAACAAAATGATGATACCAATGCTACAATGAGTATTTTTGTGTGCATGCATCCCCATTTTAATGGCAGATGAGATTTGTTAAAACAACCTCCATCCACAGCTTAACCCATGGGCTGCACCAGAATGAGACTACACCAATTGGGGGGGGGGGGATATATATAATGCAGTCCCTGATCATGGGTTGGGGTGTCAAATTGTATGTGACACAGTTAGGCATATGCTGTGGGGATTCGTCCTTGGGAAGGTCAATGGTTCGACCTAGTGGGGACCTAGATTTAAGCCTAATGTATAGACACAGGCTTCCTGTCCCTGATAGAGAGAATTGCACATTTTCTGCAGGACATTTTATTGGTTAAATTAGGAATAATCAAATTTAATTAAACAAAATTGGTCCTCCAGCTCTACAAATTGTGTCCCCACGGTAGGACTACTGTATCAGGCCTCGCCTATGAAAGGGGTGTTAACCATGGAAATGGTTTGTACCGATAAAAATCTGCTCTGAACTAAGCACACTCAAACGGCCTATCCTGTTTGTGTAATACTTAAAGTAACGATGTGGACCATAGTATGTATATTGAAGTAAAAGGCAATTAGAAAGTAGAAATCGGTACAGTATTATTGAATTTGGACAAACCAGAAAGTTATGATATTGATGTTCAAAGAACTTTACCTAACCTTCCTAATCCTAAAATGCACTGAGGCCTAATATAGTACACATGTGCTATACTAGGCCTAGGAGTATTAAACATTTTTAACACATTCCATGCAATGTACTAGAGAATTGGGAAGCTAAGGGAGGAGACCGTATGGAATTTACATTTGTAATTTGTAACAATGTGATTATAGAGATGGAAGGTTTGTCTGACAAAGAAATTCTACAGAAGTCACTTAAGTTATGAGCTGGCTGGATAGGTGGCATTTTCATAGAAAAAAATAATTAGTGTAGTTCTATACAATAGTGCATATGATAAAAGGCAGGCTTGGTAACTGGACATGCACTAAACTGGTCTGAGGAGATGTATAACGAACAGGAAGAGAGTGATAGCAAGTGGGGTTTCTCAAGGCGCTGTCCAGGGTCCGAAGCTATTTTTAATACAAAAAAAAAAAAAAAAAAATTATGCACTGAAAGGGATGAATAGGTACATGTCTTTGCTAATGATGCAGAACTAATGAGAGTACAGCTAAGAAAGACTGTTGCAGGAGGACCTTGACGAACTGCAGCAGTGGACAGACAAATGACTTGTATTTCAACTCCAAGTAAGTGTAAGGTAAGGAAGATGGGATGGGGGAAATGTTAACTTCAAGGAAGCTTCACCATAAAGAAGTAAGCAACAATGGATCATGAGAATTGGGAGTAGACATTATACCATCACTAACACTCGACATTGAAGCTTGTATGAAACAAATAGTAGCAGCTGAATATGGGAAACTATTTACGTGTACGAATTTGGCTGAGAAGACTAAGAGTTCTGTGTTTTTTTGTGTGTATTTAATATAGTCATGATTACAATACGTAGTAGGTTGGAAATGTAGTGACGTGTCGTGATAGCTAAGACGAGGTCTAGATCAGAGAGCTCGAATAAGTCTTGGGATAGAGAGCTGGAAACTTGAGTACGGCCTGAATCTGTCTGTCTGCTCTGTAGTGAGGCTGTACTCTTGTCGACCTAGATCCATGATCGACAATGTGTTACATTGTTGCTGGTGAATGTCGATGGTGGTGTTGCTCTGCAGTATCACTAGAGCGTCTGTCACTGAATGACTGAACCACTAAAAACGTCTTGAAATGTGGAATTCTTAGGGATAGGTAATGTGAAATTGTCATCTAATTATCTGCACTGAAACTTCTGAGAATTTCGAGCAACTATATTACTCTTAATATACTTATTACAAACTAAAATATGACACACATGAGAATAGTTATTAGAAATCTAAACAAGACTCTCAAAATAGTTTATATAAATAGTTAGACCAATCTTTGATTATGAAGCACTAACCGGTACGTGTTTTATTTATATTGAAAAAAAAAATGCCAGAAATTTGTACCAAGGCCATGCAGTATCCTAATGATAAGAGGTTTCATTTAGCCACGTAGTTATTTCGCTTGGTAGAGATTATGAATATAAATTATTATGTTTCCAGTTAAAAAAAAAATTAAAAGGGGGAAGGGGGAGCTTTTAGGCCTATCACCGGCGCGGGAGGGACTAATTAAGTTAAGCACCACAATATATATCGTATACTGAACAACCGCAGCACTAGTACGAATATATATACACATTAATCTTGAACATAAACGAGGATTGTCGAGGATTAAACACATATGTCGGGTTGGTAGTTTTGAACACGAGACAATTCGACGAAGCTCGTTTTCTGTAGGATGGGTATGGGGTGCATAATAAATGAACTAAACTAAACTTGTGAAATATATATTGGCTCTAACACCCAAACTGTAAGTAATAAAACTGTAAGTAAAACCTAATATAACACGTCTCTAACACATAGTCGAAGCCGATGTAGGATTATATAGGCCTCGACGAGTTATACACACTGGGCTCCCTTTTCAGTTTTCCGACAGAGCATATGCCATAACACAGAGCTGGACCAGCGAGTATATCCAACTACAGTTATAATATTTTATCTGTATTGTATCCCTGGAAACGTTTTGTGTACCGTCGCGGGGACGGGGACAGGGGCTGGGAAGTGGGACGGGGGCATGGAAGGGGACGGGGACAGTGACGGGGGCGGGGGAGCTCGGCCCCCCAGCCAGTGGTGCCAGATTGGGCTACAAATAGCGAATTGGGCTACTTTTGAGAGCCCCGCGCTCCCAATTTTTTTTTATTTCGCTACTTGCTACTTTTTGGGCTAATTTAAAAGCAAGATGTGCTAATTTGGGCTATTACTGTTAAGGCTCGTGTCCGAAGCTAGACACAAATACAACAAAATTATTAAGGATGGTAACAGAGTCCATTTCATGTGGTCTCCATCTCATGTTGGCATCCGAATGCATGATAGAGCTGAAAAGTTAGCCTAAGAATCTGCCTTTAAAGGAGACGTTGAGTACCTTGGATTGTCAATGAGCAGTCTGAGAGCAGCAGTACACCAAGAACTTCAACAAGATCTTGTAAATCTGAGGCAAAGTGAAATTGACACCAGTAATTCCATCTATCATCATACTATCATGCAAGAGGAGCCACACATCTATGGATCATCCAATAAAATCAGCAGACTTCTAGATGTTACTACTGCTCGGCTTAGACTCGGTTACAAGTATCTCTGGGAATTCTCATTATCTGCTGATGTAGACCTGACCAAATGTAAACAAAGTCAACAAAATTATTCGCACACCCTCCGTCACTATGTGACGGAGTGCGAAAAGATACGTGAATTTAGAGACAATTCTATAACCAATGTTCTAGCGATGTGTAAATATTTCATTAAAAATGATCTGCTACTAGAAATTTTAGCCAAATATCCCCAGTTTGCTAACTGTAGGTAGTAACTGAGTGATTGTAACCTATCCACCGCTGCCCACTGGATGGGGGGCGGTGTGCAGGACAAACATATAAATTGTGACACTAGCTCTCCACATATGTCAGTTGCTTAATTTAGAACCTGTACTTGAGATCGATCTCGAACCCATTGTTGATGTGACGACTTATATTGAATTTTGTAACTAGCTCATCAAGATTGTAACTTGCTTAGCTAAATGAATTGTGGGGTTCAGTCCCTGAGCCCATTATGTGCCTCTGTAACCCTTTCCACTACCACCCACAAGATGGGTATGGGGTGCATAATAAATGAACTAAACTAAAAAAAAAACTACTGTTAAGAAACTCAATTCTGATTATTTAGGATCAGATGCAACACAGACAGCACCCCGCGATAACAGCCACAGACTGACGATTTAAATGCGAGCACAGCACGCAGAGTATATCCTTACACTGCGTAAGTGCGCAGAGTATATCCTTACACTGCGTAAGTGCGCAGAATATCTCCTTACTCTGCGTAAGTGCCGCAGAGTAAGGATCCTTACTCTGCGGCCTGAATCTGTATCCAGAATCTGTATTCAGGCCGTGCTCAAGCTTCCAGCTCTCTATCCCCAGACTTACTCGAGCTCTCTGATCCTGACCTCGTCTTAGCTATCACGACACGTCACCACATTTCCAACAATCGACTGTTGTAATCAAAACTATATTAAATAAACACACAAAAAACACAGAACTCTTAGTCTTCTCAGCCAAATTCGTACACGTAAATAGTTTCCCATATTCAGCTGCTACTATATGTTTCATACAAGCTTCAATATCGAGTGTTAGTGATGGTATAATGTCTACTCCCAATTCTCATGATCCATTGTTGCTTACTTCTTTATGGTGAAGCTTCCTTGAAGTTAACATTTCCCCCATCCCATCTTCCTTACCTTACACTTACTTGGAGTTGAAATACAAGTCATTTGTCTGTCCACTGCTGCAGGTCGTCAAGGTCCTCCTGCAACAGTCTTTCTTAGCTGTACTCTCATTAGTTCTGCATCATTAGCAAAGACATGTACCTACTCATCCCTTTCAGTGCATAATTTTTTTTGTATTAAGAATAGCTACGGACCCTGGACAGCGCCTTGAGAAACCCCACTCGCTATCACTCTCTTCCTGTTCGTTATACATCTCCTCTGACCAGTTTAGTGCATGTCCAGTTACCAAGCCTGCCTTTTATCATATGCACTATTGTATAGAACTACACTAATTATTTTTTTCTATGAAAATGCCACCTATCCAGCCAGCTCAAAACTTAAGTGACTTCTGTAGAATTTCTTTGTCAG